AGGCCAGAGGTCCAACGTGAGACTTACAGGGGAAAATCGAGGGGTTGGCAGGACGGGATCCTTCCAGAAGTTTCAGGGCAGAACCCGGCCCATACCTCTCTCCTGGCTTCTGGTGGCGGCCGCAACCCTTGGCGTTCTCGGGCTCGTAGACACAGCACTTGATTCCTGCCTCTGTCTCTCCCTAACTCCCTCCCCTTCCCCTGGGGAGACAGCGGCCACCGGATTTGCGGCCCACCCTGAGTCCGGGATGATCTTGTCTTGAGGCCTTTCAATGCAGTGACAGCTGCGGAAACCCTGTCCAAATACGGTCCAGCTCACTAGACCAGGGGATAAGAATGCGGACCTGTCTTTTTGGGAACCCAAGTTCAACCTACTGCGCGCTGCTCGGATGGCTCAGCAAACCGCATGGGAATGTGCCAGGTCAGCGGCGCCACCTCAGCCACTCGGGACCGCGAGTCAGCCTTATCTGGTAAAAAATTAAGTTTTGATATAAACTATAACCCAGAAATCCCACCTGAAGGCCTGAGAGCGGGGCGTGAACTAATTCTCTCTCGTGGGTCGGACCGACGACAGCCGTTGAAAGGCAGCTCAAGGGGGAGCACAGCGCCCAGACACCTGGAAGGCGGGCTTCCGGCCTCAGGACTGCGAGAGGGGACGCTTCCGTCGTTTTGAGGCGCCCAGTTTGTGGTGCTTTGTTAAACGACCATGGGAACAAGTGTACACCCCAAGCTTTGCGACATGCTCATGTGGGCTCATCTTGTTCTAGCCTCCGCCCCACATTCCTCCGCGTCTTCTGGAAGCCACATTTCTGAGCTCGTCCAATTTCATAGCTCGGAGGGCTGGAATATTCTGCCCTCAGAGCAGGGTCTGTGTGTTACGTCTTCGAGTGGCAAGGCAGGGCGGGGCTGTTCTAGAAAAATCAAGGCTCTGGAGTCAGGCAGGAGCGGGTGAAATGCTCAGCTCTGTTGCTCGCTGGTGTTGAGACCTGGGGCCACTCCGGTAACAGCCGGTCTCCAGAAAAGTGGCCATAGCCCCATGGACCTTGGGAGATGTGAGAATTAAGTGAGGACAGGTGTGCCAACACCTGGGCAGGACCCGCCTCGCCCTGGCCTTCCACAAACGCTCCTCGGACGGGAGGGAATAGAAGAACAGCTCCCCGCGCTGAGCGGCTCCTTCAATAAACGACACTCAATTTCTGACAATATCATAGGTTCATGAAGTTGAAAAGATTAATTGCACAACGTTTTCACCTGCTATTTAGATACCTAGGGAAAGAATAAGTCGATTATACCACGTTTTGTAATTCCCGAAAAGAAAAAACAGTCAAAGGGAGGGGAGTTGTGTTTTCCGTGCATGAATTGACGCGGTGCACATCAGCACGGTTCTGCGTGTCAGCTCTTCCTCTTTCTAAATGTAAGGGGCCCGCTGTGTCCGCCCCATCCGTATCCGAACATTTTTAGAAGGCTTCAATATTAGTGCTGACTTAAGTTATTTTCACCAGATATTTGGAAAACATTTCCCTAAGTTGCTTTGGCCCGTGGTAACCCACGGAGGGCGAGGCAGGCTGGTGTCTGCAGGGTGGGGGCCGGCAGGCCCCCCAGGGTGCCCGCTCCCAGCACCGCACTCCCATCCTGCCCGGGGGCCCCTGCATGAAACCTTCCCCGAGCCTGATCGCGGAGTCGAGGGACTGGGAGGCCCCGTGAGCTGGCCTGGCCTGGTCCACTGCCACGCGGCCCTGCCCCTTCCTTCTCCCCCCTCATTCAGAACTCCCCCAGCCCAACACAAAGCTGGGCCGCACATGTCGGCGCAGCCTTCACCGTGATCCGGGCGGGCCACCGCCGGCCCTCCCTCTGGTTCCCGCCAAGCCCCTCGCTGCCTGGGAAGCCTTTCTTGGCTCGCTCCCCCGCCACCATCCCAGTGAGGGCCCTCCTCTGGGCTCCCCGACGGCTCTCTTCAGGCCTGACCGCAGCTCCTTGAAGGCAAACGCTTACCTCCACCCCCACACTGTGGGCAGACCCCATCACATCCTGGGGTCTGTTTGTTCCACTGAATTGACAAGCAAAGCGGCCAAGTAACGAGAGTTATTCATTAATATGTGAGGCTGTCAAAACTGAACATGTTGCCCTGGCTGGGGTGGCTCATTTGGATGAAGCATCATCCTGTAACCGAAGGGTTACAGGTTCAATTCCTGGTCAGGACACATTCCTAGGTTGGGGGTTTGATCCCCAGTCCAGGCTCGTGCGGGAGGCAACCAGCCGATGCTTCCTTCTCACATCAATGTCCCTCTCCCTCCCTTCCTCTCTCTCTAAAAAGAAATTTAAAAAGTCCTCTGACGAGGATGAACAAATTTTTTTTCATTGAACGTGTTCATAGAGTAGATGCTGTATAGTGTTTGTGAGTAAATGATTTAATGAGTGAGCAAGCCAGGAAATCAGGAGTTGTCCTTCGGAAAACGTTCTAGCTCTCAGATGTCATCAAATTACAGTAATTACAGCAAGTCTTTAAAAATCCACATTTGAAAGCAAAACTAATTATATTATTTGAAAAATTCCTCAAGATACAATCAAGTACAGTGAAGCACTCACCGTAATCCTGATATGACCAGCTAACACCGTAAAGTCAGGAATCTATAGAGCACAGTTTCACTAGGTCCGCCTTCCCTGGGGTTTACCATAAGATGACCCGTTTATTTTAGAACCGAACTCAACTACAGCGAGACCCACAGCGATGAGACACTCACCATGTGTCGATAACCGGCCTCGTGTGCATGACATCATCGCACAGAACCCTGCGCGGGGGACTCACCCCAACCTTTCCCTCATCGGTTAGCGCCACCCCCCGCCGTCACCACCCCGCCCCGCCTCCCCTCCCCCGACGACTGTCATCACCAGAACAACTCACCTTTATTAGGCACTTATTCCATGTGAACAGCAGGCGTGGCTTGAACCCGATGTGGCCCGACCCGTCCCAGGACAGCGCTGGCCTTGCCCCCGGTTCCAGGTTCTACAAACCCTAACGGGCGTCAGGTGAGACCGACCGGCCGCGACAGGCAGTGTCAGGTCACCACGCGAGCGGACGTCCCAGCGTGGCCCTTCCTGGCCGTGTGACCCCGAGCAGCTAACCAACCCCGAGCCCAGGGTGTCGTTGCGCCCAGAGGGTGCTGCGTGGGCTCCGAGGTTCGCTCTTAAGGTAAGTGGGGTAAAACCGCACAGCGCCGGCCCCCGATGACCCAGCCAATGACGGGGCGAGTATCAGGATCGCAGGCCGTTACGGGAGCTTTGGGGTCAGACAGGCTCAGTGAGAGCAGCCAGCAGGGGCCGAGCGCCTACTGTGTGCCGGCCCCGTGCCGAGCGTGTCGAAGGGAGTCTCATCCAACCCTCAGAAATCTAATGAGCTAGGACTTTCATTGATTCACAGGCCAATCAATACACAGACACCGAGGACCGGAGAAGGGAAACCCGTGGCAGACCCCAGTGATGGAGCAGTTCTGAGAGGCCGTTCTCACGTCCAAGGCCTGAACCCTTCACAAGCACGCCCGTGCATTTGGGCAAACCCTTCAGCTCTGTGAGCTCCTGTGTCCCCGCGTGGGGGGGTAGCTTGGGGTTCGCAGGTCTCTCAGCCTGGCCCAGCTGTGCCGTGGGCGCCTGAGAAATTGCCCTGGTTGCCGCCCCCTCCCCTGTGACTGGCCGGGGGCTGGGAGTGGCTGGCTGAGCCGCAGCGAGGGCAGCGGGGAGGGGCTGCGCAGGGACGCGGCGGGGTTGGGGGGGAGCAAGGTAGGGCCCTGCGGCAGGACTGTGCCCGTGTGTTAGGGGACAAGGCAAGAAGGCTGCTGTGGCTGAATCAGAGAAAAAGGGGGCTGTAGGACAGCAGAGCCTGCAGGAAGCAAAAGAAGGGCTCTGGATTGTCCAAATGGAGCCGAGAACCCCAGCCGCGCAGGGCGCTGGGGGTTTTGATCAGAGCACGTCCGCCAAGGCCCAGGGCAGAGCTGGCAGAGTCCGCCTGGCGCTGAGCGCTCCGTGGGAAGGGCCTCAGGGTGCTCTGGGCGACAAGGAGCGATGGCTCGTGGCTCCACTGGTCAAAGGAGGCTTTCAAAGGTGGTGCCGAAGACATCGCAGGCTCCCCCACCCCGGCCCCAGGTCCCTGTCCCAGCTGCGCTTTAAACACAAGGCAAAACTGGCCCCAGACCCTCCAATGGACCGTTTCCAACACAACCCTCAGGGGGCCACCTGGGTCTGCGGGGTGGCAGACAGCAGACAGAAACGCAAGGAGATCCTGATGTCTGCACTCCCGACCCAGCGCGCGGGGACCAAGCCTCAGCCACGAGTCGCCTCCCACAGGGGCCACCCTCTCCCAGCCTCCCGGTGCCCTGTCCCTCGCCTGTCCCCTCTACGCGCAGCTCTGGGTCAGCAGTGAAGGCCTCTAAGGTTCTCTTTTGCAGAGCCATTGGGCTCTCCCAGTGGAGGGGTGGGTGGCGGGGCAGGAGGAGGCGGCCTCCCGCTGCGTCGTCCTGGCCAGGAGGGAGGCCTGGGGGGCAGCTATCCAAGGGAGCATCCCTCAACCAGGTCGCGTGGTCTGTCGACAGCCCCCAGCTCTGCCCAGGGATCCGCGTGTCTCCACAGCCTGTCTGACCCGGGAGCCAAGCCCCACACGCCCGCAGACGGCAGAGACCGCCCGTGCCCGCCGGGTCCCAGCGCCCACACCCCGCGGCACCAGCCACACGGCAGGGCACCCAGCAGGGCCCGCAGACCGCTGCCCGTGGGGCTCCGTGGGCCGGCCGCTCTGCCTGTCTCTGGCTTTGCCAAGGCACAGGGAGCTGTGGGGGTAGGATGGGGTGAGGACGTCGCCAGGTGACCGGAGAGGAGGGCTTGCGCCAGAGGCCCAGGAGGAGAAGCAGGTCCTTATGATGCAGTTTTTATTTCAAAAAATAAGAAGTCCCAGTCCGACCACCTCCTGCCGCCCGCCGGCCCTCGCTGCTGCCCCGAGGCCTGCGCCCAGCTCCTTCACCTGGGGCCCCCAGGCAGCCGCGGGCCCGCAGAGTCTGCCACGAGCTCACTCTTTTTGAAGTAAACGAAGAACGTCCGGATTTCCTTCGGGTGGACGGTGACAGTCGGGCCCGGCGGGGGCGGGGGCCGGGGCCGGGAGCCGCCTGGGGTGGGGCAGCGGTGGTCGGTCCAGCCCTGCTCCTTGGAGCCCCGGCTTCCCTGGGACGCTTCCTCCCAGCCCCCCCCCCCCCACACACACACACACCACACCTGCCTGCAGCCTGCTGTGGCTCCCGTGGTGATGTAGATGTGACGACCCCCCCCCCCCCCCGGCCTGCCTGGACTCCCGCTGCCAGCCGGTCTCTTGCGTTTCTGCCCTCCCCCGAGCGCCCACCCGAGAGGGCGGGGCACCTGGAGATTCACCCGGGTCCTGCGTGGCCGCATGTGCCCTGGTGTGTGGCGCTCAAGGCCTATGAAATTTCTCACCGAGGCGATTGGGGGGCCTGCCCTTTATCTCTCTCACGGCGCTCCACCCAAGTCACGCCCTGGGGTTCAGGCTCATACGGTCCATCCACCCCACCTTCCTCCTTCCTTCCTTTCTTCCCTTCATCCATTCAACCCATCACTGACTAAGTGTCCGCCCGTGTACCCGCCAGTATGCCGAGTGCAGGGGCCGAAGAGGAGGTGCGTGGGACAGAAATCACACGGGCAGGAAGAGCAGAGGAGGCGCCCGGCCCAGCCCTGGCCTTGGGGGAGGCTTGAGTAGGACTGGCCAGAGAGAAGGGCCAAGGGCATCCCAGGCAGAGGGAACAGCGCGAGGCAGCCTGTGGTTGGCAGCGTCGTGTGCAGAGCAGCGGCGCGCGCAGAGCTAGGCACAGCTCGGCAGACTGAGAATGCCCGGCTCTCACCCAGGGCCCGGGCAGCGGTGTGGGCTGCGCACGCTCGCAGCCAGCGCCTGAGCCAGCGCTCCCGTACCTCCATCCTTGGTCCTCCACCTCCAGCGCCGCAGCGTGCTCACGTCCCAGGTCCCCGTGAGCGAGCGCTCCTCCACGGCCAGCACGGTGCCCAGCCCCCGCAGCACGGACTACCGGAGAGGAGCGCAGAGGGGGTGAGCCAACCGGGCTCCAGGTCTGAGCAGAGCGCATGCGCGGCAGGGGCGGCCACCCAGGGCCCAGCACGCGCCCCCCCAACCGTTTCATTCCCACGGTAAATCCCCTGGCTCATCCCCTGGCTCCGGACAGGAGCCCCACTTCACACATGACGAAGCCAAAGCGGGAGTACATCCCAGGTGCCCAGCGGGTGTGTGTGCCCAGGAGTGGGCGGGCCCTCAGAGCGCCCCCCCCAACACTGAGCCCCCCGTGCCCAGCCGGGGCCACATCGCCTCAGGAGGAAGGCGGTCACGGCCATCCACCACCTTTGCCAGGAGCTCAACCCAGCCACCCCGTGCAGAGATGGGGACAGGTGGCCCAACTGGCCACCCAAAGACAGGGACAGCCTGCCACCCGGGAGGGCGGGGTTCTCTGGAACAGCCCCCTGTGCTGATGGAGGGCGCACACCCACGCACGGAGGGCCAGCTGCTGGGCTGCTACCACCCCCACCCTTTTCTCTTTACACCTGCTCGTCAGGCCACAGGCCACCAGCAGGAAGAGAAATGGGCAGCTGGCTGAGGACAGCTGGGCGGGAGGACATAGGGGACCGGGTCCTTGAGGACAGCACCGGGCAGCTGAACGTGAACAGACACCCCCGACACTGGTTGGCGAGAAAATGCCGGGCCCCATTCCAAGCACCCCCGGCTGGCAGCTGTCGCTCGCGGCCAAGCCCATTCCTAACTGAGGACCGCTCTGGCCACCCCGACTGGCACCATCCACGTGGAGAAGCAGCATGTGGTGCCTGCCCAGCCACCTGCTCCGCTAAGGGTCTCCGAGCTTGGCCCGTCCCACGGAGGCAGCACAGGGTGGCCGGTGTCCAGCAGCTGCCTTCGCCACCCCTGCACCCCGGATGCACTCGCTCCAGCCTGTGCTCGGCCTCCAAGGGGCCCGTGGGGAGGAGCCGGGTGAAGGAGACCGGCCTCTGACCCCTGCCCCCCCATGGTGGTTAGAGCCGTGAAAGGGGGGCTCCAGGAGGCACCACGGAGGAGGCTCCGGGTGACTCGCGGGCGTTCCATGGAGGACCCGGGCACCGGGGGTGCCCAAAGCAAGATCGGAGGGGCTCACAGAGATTCTGTGAGCAGGAGACGGCGGCGTGCCCACAGCCCCATGCAGGGTGCAATGGAGCGGGGGCCTGAAGCGTCTCGAGGTGTCCTTTGGGGAGGAGGGTGGCCGCCTGGGCGCTGGCGGGGGACACGGGGGCGGGTCCCCCAGAGCCTCCCCGGGGCCCTTGCGAGCATGTCCTGCTGCTCCTCTTTGCCAAGGTCGTTTCCAAGCCAGGGCTGTCGCCCTTGGAATTTGGGTCCCTGGCTCACGTCCCCCCAGGAGGCCGCACGCAGTGGCCTGGCAGCGGGACGTGGGAGGGGCAATCTACCTTCAGATTCACGGTCACCGGCCGAGACAGGACCGGGTGCTCCCCCGCCTCGTACAGGTGGTGCAGCCGCAGCAGGACCCGGCGGAGGTCGGCCTTGGCTTTCCCCTGAGGGCCTGGGACGGGAGGAAGGCAGCAGTGAGGACCCCCGCCGGTGCCCGGCCACTCTAAGGGGCGACTGACCCTGGCATCTGGGGAGTCTCAGTCCTCAGTCACTGTTGTCATCATGGCCTTGTCCCCCAGGCTTCCAGTCTCTGGAATTTTCTCTCCCTCTCTGTCCCTGTGCAGTGCGGTGTAGCCATCGAACCCAAGGCCAGTGCACGCGAGCAGAGGTGATGCATCACTTCCGGTCACCATGACTAAGGCAGCATGTGGCACCATGTGGCCCCCATCGGCGGGTCCCTGGTGGCCACAGTAAGAGGGGCTCCCTGCTGACCAACTGGGTGGGAAACAAACACCTGCAGTCCACACAGCGAGAGTTTGGGACACTTGGTTACAGCAGCAGAAGTTTGTAAAGTCCCTTCTACGGGGTCCCAGGGCAGCGGTCCAGGCGGGTTCCGCGTCTGACGAAGCATCAGGCCACTGCCTGGGGCGGCGTCGGTGAGCACGACAGTGAGAACGACGGTGAGTGTGACGGTGAGTGTGACAGTGAGTGTGACGGTCAGTGTGACGGTGAGGGCGAGGGTGAGTGTGACGGTGAGTGTGACGGTGAGTGTGACAGTGAGTGCGACGGTGAGGGCGACGGTGAGGGCGACGGTGAGGGCGAGGGTGAGGGCGACGGTGAGGGCGACGGTGAGTGTGACGGTGAGTGTGACGGTGAGGGCGACGGTGAGGGCGACGGTGAGGGCGACGGTGAGTGCGACGGTGAGGGCGACGGTGAGGGTGACGGTGAGTGTGACGGTGAGGGCGAGGGTGAGGGCGACGGTGAGGGCGACGGTGAGGGCGAGGGTGAGGGCGAGGGTGAGGGCGACGGTGAGGGCGACGGTGAGGGCGACGGTGAGGGTGACGGTGAGTGTGACGGTGAGGGCGAGGGTGAGGGCGACGGTGAGGGCGACGGTGAGGGTGACGGTGAGTGTGACGGTGAGTGCGACGGTGAAGGCGAGGGTGAGTGTGACGGTGAGTGCGACGGTGAGGGCGAGGGTGAGGGCGAGGGTGAGTGCGACGGTGAGGGCGAGGGTGAGGGCGAGGGTGAGGGCGACGGTGAGGGCGACGGTGAGGGCGACGGTGAGGGCGACGGTGAGTGTGACGGTGAGGGCGAGGGTGAGTGTGACGGTGAGTGTGACGGTGAGAGTGAGGGTGAGTGTGACGGTGAGGGCGACGGTGAGGACGACGGTGAGGGCGACGGTGAGTGTGACGGTGAGTGTGACGGTGAGGGCGACGGTGAGGGCGACGGTGAGTGTGACGGTGAGTGTGACGGTGAGAGCGAGGGTGAGTGTGACGGTGAGGGCGACGGTGAGTGTGACGGTGAGGGCGACGGTGAGGACGACGGTGAGGGCGACGGTGAGTGCGACGGTGAGGGCGAGGGTGAGGGCGACGGTGAGGGCGACGGTGAGTGTGACGGTGAGTGTGACGGTGAGGGCGACGGTGAGTGTGACGGTGAGGGCGACGGTGAGTGTGACGGTGAGGGCGACGGTGAGGGCGACGGTGAGGGCGACGGTGAGTGCGACGGTGAGGGCGAGGGTGAGTGTGACGGTGAGGGCGACGGTGAGGGCGACGGTGAGGGCGACGGTGAGTGCGACGGTGAGGGCGAGGGTGAGTGTGACGGTGAGGGCGACGGTGAGGGCGACGGTGAGTGTGACGGTGAGTGCGACGGTGAGGGCGACGGTGAGTGTGACGGTGAGTGCGACGGTGAGGGCGACGGTGAGTGTGACGGTGAGGGCGAGGGTGAGTGTGACGGTGAGGGCGACGGTGAGGGCGACGGTGAGTGTGACGGTGAGTGCGACGGTGAGGGCGACGGTGAGTGTGACGGTGAGGGCGACGGTGAGGGCGACGGTGAGTGTGACGGTGAGGGCGAGGGTGAGGGCGACGGTGAGGGCGACGGTGAGGGCGACGGTGAGGGCGACGGTGAGTGTGACGGTGAGTGTGACGGTGAGAGCGACGGTGAGAGCGAGGGTGACTGTGACGGTGAGGGCGATGGTGAGTGTGATGGTGAGGGCGACGGTGAGTGCGACGGTGAGTGTGACGGTGAGTGCGACGGTGAGAGCGAGGGTGACTGTGACGGTGAGGGCGATGGTGAGTGTGACGGTGAGGGCGACGGTGAGTGCGACGGTGAGTGTGACGGTGAGTGCGACGGTGAGAGCGAGGGTGACTGTGACGGTGAGGGCGACGGTGAGTGTGACGGTGAGGGCGAGGGTGAGTGTGACGGTGAGGGCGACGGTGAGGGCGACGGTGAGGGCGACGGTGAGTGTGACGGTGAGTGTGACGGTGAGAGCGAGGGTGAGTGTGACGGTGAGTGTGACGGTGAGGGCGACGGTGAGTGTGACGGTGAGTGTGACGGTGAGGGCGACGGTGAGTGTGACGGTGAGGGCGACGGTGAGGGCGACGGTGAGGGCGACGGTGAGTGCGACGGTGAGGGCGAGGGTGAGGGTGACGGTGAGGGCGACGGTGAGGGCGAGGGTGAGTGTGACGGTGAGTGTGACGGTGAGAGCGAGGGTGAGTGTGACGGTGAGGGCGACGGTGAGTGTGACGGTGAGTGTGACGGTGTGGGCGACGGTGAGGGCGAGGGTGAGTGTGACGGTGAGTGTGACGGTGAGAGCGAGGGTGAGTGTGACGGTGAGGGCGACGGTGAGTGTGACGGTGAGTGTGACGGTGAGGGCGACGGTGAGTGTGACCGTGAGTGTGACGGTGTGGGCGACGGTGAGGGCGACGGTGAGTGTGACGGTGAGTGCGACGGTGAGGGCGAGGGTGAGTGTGACGGTGAGGGCGACGGTGAGGGCGACGGTGAGGGCGAGGGTGAGTGTGACGGTGAGTGTGACGGTGAGGGCGATGGTGAGTGTGACGGTGAGTGTGACGGTGAGGGCGAGGGTGAGTGTGACGGTGAGGGCGAGGGTGAGTGTGACGGTGAGGGCGACGGTAATGTGACCGTGAGTGTTACGGTGAGGGCGACGGTGAGTGTGACCGTGAGTGTGACGGTGAGGGCGACGGTGAGTGTGACGGTGAGTGTGACGGTGAGGGCGACGGTGAGGGCGACGGTGAGGGCGACGGTGAGTGTGACGGTGAGGGCGACGGTGAGTGTGACGGTGAGGGCGACGGTGAGGGCGAGGGTGAGTGTGACGGTGAGGGCGACGGTGAGAGCGAGGGTGAGTGTGACGGTGAGGGCGACGGTGAGTGTGACGGTGAGTGTGACGGTGAGGGCGACGGTGAGTGCGACGGTGAGGGCGACGGTGAGTGTGACGGTGAGGGCGAGGGTGAGTGTGACGGTGAGGGCGAGGGTGAGTGTGACGGTGAGTGCGACGGTGAGGGCGAGGGTGAGTGTGACGGTGAGGGCGACGGTGAGGGCGACGGTGAGTGTGACGGTGAGTGTGACGGTGAGGGCGACGGTGAGTGCGACGGTGAGGGCGAGGGTGAGTGTGACGGTGAGGGCGACGGTGAGTGTGACGGTGAGTGCGACGGTGAGGGCGAGGGTGAGTGTGACGGTGAGGGCGACGGTGAGGGCGACGGTGAGTGTGACGGTGAGTGTGACGGTGAGGGCGAGGGTGAGTGTGACGGTGAGGGCGACGGTGATAGGAGAGCACCTAGTTCATACGGGCTCCCGGGGAACCTCTCTCACCACTGGGTCTGTGCACACTCGGTCCAGCCCTTCTTCCTCCGGTTTGGGTCCTTTTTGGCCAAGTGCCTCCTGGGAAGGGTGTGCTGCTGAGGGCGAGGCCGCCCCGCCCCGTGTCTTCTGTGACTGGTGGGGTTCACATGCTGGGGTTCAGGGTCAGGGAGTCTCTCGGCTGCAGAATGAGCCAAGGTGACCCATATCCACTTTTCCTGGGTCAAAGGTGTTGTCTGGCCTGTCCCCTCTTCCTTTTCCTCTTCTTAATTCTGCAGACTCTTACTCTGTGCGGGACCAGGTCCTGGGGGAAATTTGACGACCCCGAGGCTGGCTGAGGCACGGTCAGCTCTGCCTTTGAGCTACTCAAGTGCAAAGGGGCAAGTAAGAGGCAATAGGACCGGTCTGGTCCTGGCAGATGTCGCCTCCACCATGAGGCCCTCCCCGATGCCCAGTGAGGGATTGCCCTCTGAACATTGTCATCCCTGCCCCGTCACTTGAGTGCTCCCCCTCTAGACTGGGAGCTCAGAAAATCAAGACCTGGCTCCATGGGTCACTGCTCCTTCCTGGTACCCGGCACAAGAGGCACTTGCTCAGTGAATGAACGGAAGTTCAGGACATTCAAACGGCCAGAGCTCAGAGGACGGTGGGGTCTGCTGTTCGAGGCTCCCGGAGGAGCCCACGGAGGAAGCAGGACCAGAGTGCAGCCCCAAGGCTGGGCGGGGTGTGGACGGCGGTCTGGAGATAGAGGTGGGCTCAGGCAGGGTCCACGGGAGAATCGTGTGGGCATGTCCTGGGCTGGGGTCCAGACCCACTTGCCCCAGTTCACTGGACGCCTCTCTGTGGGCCTCGGTCTCCCCATTTGGCAGATAAAGGGACCAGGTGGCCTCACAGGGCCATGGCGACTGTGCATAGGGTCCCTGTGCCTGCTGGTGCGGTCAGGGGCCTGGCGGACACGGGGAGGCAGGAGTGCGTCCGGCCCTCGGTCACCTGGCTCACCTTTCCGGAGGTTCTGCAGGTGCTCTGTATGGTTGGAGCTGTAGTCCCAGCCGGGGATGCTCAGGATCTGCAGGTGAAGGCTGGCGGGCAACGTCACAGCCTCTTGCTGATGGGGGGCTGAGAGATTTTGGCCAGTCTCTGCAAAGCAGGCAGATGGAGTGAGGGAGAGGGTGTGGGGTCAACTCCCCCCACCCCGCTGCGCTCGGAGCTCTCCACACCGGGGTCCCCTCACAGCCGACCCCCCAGCCTCCCCACGGGCAGCCTACGCCGCGGGTCCAGACACCCACCCGGCTCCGGCCCTGGCTTTTGTCCCCCAGGTCCTCCCCCGTGAGGCTGCCCCCTCCCACATGTCCGGCTGCTCAGAGGACAAGTTAAGAGCTGGACAGATCGTGAATCTCTGGTCCAGCCATTTCAAACTGCAGATAGGGAGACTAAAAAGCCTGAGGGGTCACTGCTTGTTCCAGGTCAGATGGCAAGTTCACTTAGGGCCCTGTTTTCCATTCAAGGTCTGGGATGCCAGCTCCTCCCTTATCCTGACACCTAGGCCTCTCTGCTCCGAAGACCCCGCAGCCCCTCCTCCTTCTAGGAAATGCTCCTTTCAACTCTAGGCTGTTACTGGAGCTGCCATCGCCTCACAGTACTACAGGCTGCAGTGATTGGTCCAGGCTCAGGTCATGTGATACCATCAGGACCAATCAGAATCTTTCCCTGGGACTTTAGCCCCAGAGACCCAAAGCCCAAGTCTCAATATCTTTCTGGGAAGAAGACATGCACCCCCAGAGCTGCTCACAGGTTGTCCCAGGAGGAGGGGAAAGAAGGGCCACCAGCAGAGAGAAGCACAGGTGGCAGAGGAGGGAGAGGGAAGGACTCATGAAGGTTCCAGCCTCCAGTCCCAGCCACACCACTGCCCTTCCCTTGATTACGGGGTCTCAGAATAAAGTCCCCTGTGGCTCAGATGTTCACATTGGATTCCTCTCACTTGCAATAAACAGACTAGAGGGAGGCCAGATGGATGGAGCTGACCACAGCCGCGGAGCTCAGCTGGACATGGCACATCCCCTCTGTGGGAAAGTCTGCCCTTGCCCGGAAGGACCACTGACTGACCCAGGAGCCGCCCCCGCCCCTGCTAGCCGATTAGAGCCTGCCCCTGGAATCTGCAGCATGGGACCTGGGGGGGACAGGCAGGGGCTCTGGGCTGTCCTGGGGGAGAGAGGGCGCCCAAGAGGCCCAGAACTGCCCTGCCCGCGCCGGCCCAGGCCGCTGCCGGCTCCCGGTCCATCCGTGAGCCGCCCCAGGCTCCGCCCACTCAGCTGCTCCTTTCGAGCCTTTCACTGCCAAACAAGAGAACTCAGGTGACTCCCTAAGAGCTGACCCTCGGTCTCACCCCGCCTGCAGTGTCTCATTGCCCTAATCCCACAGGTTACCAGGCCCCTCTGGCCCTCCTCCCTCCTGCGCTATGTCCTGGACCTGTCTGACCGAGTCTCCTCAAGGGCGTCCTGTGAGAACCGCCTCAGGAGAGGACTGGCCCCCCATGACACAGCCCAGCCCTGAGGGCACCCCTCCCCCGGGCCTCCCTGGCTGACTGGCTCCCGCTGGGCGCCCCCTTACCGGTCAGCCCTCCCAGCACCACCACCGGCCTGTGCTGCAGGGCCAGCCCACTCCTCGGGCGCAGGCGGGTGGTCGCTAGCGGGGGTCCCAGCAGGAGCCAGAGCACTGGGTGGACAACCGAGGTGTCGTTCAGTGTGATATTGTAGTACAGGGAAAAATCCTCGTCGTTCCATAGCCGCCGGTGAAGCATGACCTGCAGGGAGGGGTTGGGTGATGCCGTTCACACCGGGGGTGCCCATGGGGGCGGGGCGGGCCTCCTCCTACCTCCACCTGTCCCTGCCCCTGGCTGGAGACGCCGTGCGCCCGCTCCGACAGCAGCACCAGCCTGCTCCTGCCGTCCTCGATGTAGGCCGACTGGACCATGGGGTAGTAGTTCTGCAGACAAAGCATGGTGGGGGGGACATCAGGCAAAGGGCGAGCCAGACCGCCCAGTCAGGGGTCACCTTTGGCCACCCCAGCCAACCCCCAGCTCAGGCACAGCAGCAGCTCAAGGTGACATGGGGGAGGGGCTCTGACTTTGGAGACAGACAGACAGGGACGCATATCCGGCTCCCCTGCCGCCTGGCCCAGTGAGCTGGGGAGCTAATCCTACGCAAGCCCCATTTCCCCTTCTGTAAATGGGGCCCACTCTGGACAGCGGACGCAGGCAGTGGGTGATGCAGGCCTGAGAGGGACCCCGGCTGACGGTGCCAGATGCAGCAGGGCCCCAGGGGCTGGAGCAGCGGTCACACAGCCCCCGCCCTGGGCTCCCTCAGGGGTCTCCACCCCCTAATGACTGCACGTGGGCACATTCTCCCTAGAGCCTCTGTGGCCACATGTCGGGTGCCAACACCGTTCCACTCAGGGCTGCCGACGGGCATCACGGGGCGTACCCGGGAGATACTGTTTTTAGCGTAGATCCGGTAGGGCCTCCGCTGCATCTGGTAGCCATTGCTGTCTGAGTAGAGGACCTGCCGGCTGGACAGGTTGGTGCTGGTCCGCAGGACGACCTCGCGGTTCAGCTGCAGGGGGCCCACCCGGAGCTCCTGCTCTATGCGGTGGCACAGCTGCTCCCCGTTGTAGCCGCGTGGCACGTGGGCCAGGCGGGAGAAGATGGCGTACGTGGGGGCCTTGGCGTTCACACTCCTGGAGGGAAAGAGCCGAATCGGTAGGCAACCTCTCAGAGCCTACGGATGCTCTTCCCTCCTCCTTCCCTGCCCTTTCTTGCTTTTCGCCCTCCCTCCTGCAGGCAGCAGGGTGCCCAGGTGCCTGCTCACAGACTGAACAGGAGAAGCCTGGTCCCCCGGTGGCGCAGGGCCCTGGCCAGGCCTGCCGGCCTCTGTCTGGGCTGCTAGTGGAGACACTGGGAGTCCTCTCGCGCGGACGTCATTGGCCCCAGCACATGCTGACGAAACCAGGATGCAATTCATTTCTGCACCTGACTCCCATCAGGCCACGACCGTGCACCACCCGCAGGCCCAGGAGCTGGGCAAGTGAGCGAAGACGGGTCCTCGACACCCGCCCATGTGCACCTACCGCATGCTGGGCACAGCCCGGGCAGAGGGCGGCGCACCTGTAGAAGTACTGCCGGATCTCGGTCACAAGACTCCCATCTACGATCTCCATTTCCATTGCCTTCCACGCTGGGCCCGCAGGGCGTGTGGGTATGAATGCGTAGTTATCAGAAACGGGGCCAAGAAGCGAGTTGTTGGTGGCTTGGTACTCCAGGAACTCCTGGGTCACACGGACCGTCCGGTTGCCCTTCCTGCAAGGCCGCAAAGAGGGAGGAACGCTGCCCTCGTGGACACTGTCTCCCGGGCCTCGGCCCCGTGGCTGGAACCAGCCCCCACCCCTCTCTGCGGGCGCCAGCCCCAAATGGGGAGGGCACAAAGCCACTCCTTGAAGCTCAGGCACTTGGTTCAAATAAAAGCCCTTCACACCCCATCCAAGTCCCTCCCCGCCCCTGAGCAGATCACAAAGGAGGAGGGCACAGAGGCTGCGTGAGGAGGCCTGAGCGCACAAGTGCAAAGGCAGCGCTGCCACAGAGGAAACTACCCACAGAGCCGGTGTGGGGTCACCCAGGTGGCCAGCAGCGGCCAACGCTACCCCTTCCCGCAGCCCCCAACAGTACACGGGTGGGTTTCTGTCTCGCTCTGACCTGTCCAGGGGTCCCACGCCAGAGCCCTCACCCACATCCCATCGTTAAATACTCGTGACCCCGTGCGCAGGGATTATCAAGTCTTTTCTCCGCTGAGGCAAGCACAGCGGGAGGTGTGATGGCGCCCAAGATCCCACTGCAGGGGGCACACAGGCCCGGACTCAGGTCCACTTCCACGCCACCGCCGCGCCCACCCGTCACCAGGATTTGGAGGGAGGGAGAGGCAGGGGATGGGGGAGCCCAGAGCCCATCAATGTGTGTTTGGGTTGCAAATCTGTGTGGCCTGAGCCATGTGTTCCCAGCAGGGCGTGGCCCTGCCAGGCAGCTGATGGTGAAGAGTCACCTCTACACCCATGCTGGGGGTTCCTTAGGGACAGTGCTGGGGACAGGAAGGAAGAGCAGGCATCCAAGAAGCGCCTCTGAGCCCCCCATGGGAAGGGAGGAGAAGAGAATCCTTTCTGTCAGCCTGGCACCCAAGGCCGCGCCCCTGCCCCCCGCCCCCCACCCCCGCCAGGCTCTGCTCCCAGCAGGTGCAGGGAGCAAGGCCCAGGCGAGGGGCAGAGGGCGGCCCGGGAACGCCTGCCACACGGCCGCGCGGCCCTCACCGCTCCCGGACGCTGTGCATCAGGTTCGTGTCCCTGTCGAGGAAGACGGTGTAGCACGCGTTCTCCACAGGCACCAGGCGCCTGCCCGGGGGCCCGGCGTGGCTCCTCAGCCTGCGGCCAAACTTGGAGGCGAACGCCCCGGGGGCCCTCGGTGCCCCGCCGCCCTCCTGGGCCCCTCTGGCGGGCCTGATGCTGTAGCGCTGGTAACTGAGGCCCGGGAGTACGGTCAGCACATGCAGGTCATATTTGTGCGGCGACTCCTTCGATTTCTGGACCTGCAGGGCCACAGGAACGCGATGAAACGGAGGACTTCAGGGCTGGAAGCTACCAGGCTCCTCAGCAACCCCAGGGGCTGGCAGGGTCTTTCCATCACTGGACTGAGCCGGGCTCCCCGGGCCCCGCCTCCTCTCCCTCCCCGCCTCCCTCCCTCTGGCACCAGCATCACCCACTGCCCTTCCTTCCCAACATGCACCCGCTGTTTCCTGCCTCTGAGCCATTGCTCCTGCTGTTCCCACTACCCATGGGCCCTTCTCTGGGAAGGGGGCAGCCTTACTCCCCAGCCCTCTGATTCTGTGTGGAGCGGTGCTTTCAGCATAACCCCCCCACACCTGGCCTTCCCCATCCCCCCTTCTCTGATCTGGGGAGGGGGTTTGAAGGACGCACAGGGCACCCTCAACAACAAACCCCACCCCTTCTCTGGGGGAAGTTGCAGCCTCTGAGCCCCTGTGGAGGCCTTTGGGAGCCCTGTTAGCACGCCCACGACAGTGGCACACAGCCTCCCACCCAGGCTTTATCTGAAATGCAGCAGACTCTTGTCCCCTGACACCCTGCTCTAGTGACTTTCCTCCACCATCGTTGTCACCATCTGTAGTTTCATTTCATTTACTACCTGTCTCACCAGCCAGAATACAGGACCCTGGGGGCAGGGACTTTGGCCAGCAGAGTATCCCAGTGCCTAGACCATGCCAGACACACAGTCGGTGCTCAGGAATATCGGTAAGCGATTCACCCTAAGAGGTGTCGCGTTTGATGGGAAGGGGGTGTTACCCGCGGGGTCTGCACAAACCAACACCCTCCTCCAGCCCCTCCCGGTCAGATGAGCTCTGCCTCCTCCATCTCAGCTGAGGACGGGCCACCGGCCCCTCACCCCTGCTCCCAGGCCGGCCCTCTGCACCTTGACCGTCCGTTTCTGTGCTGGCACCCACCCACCCCACCCCCGACCCCCGCCCTGCAGAGGGACAGGGCCAGAGACGCAGAGCCCAGCCTGAGCCAGCCCGGGACAGGCGCAGAGGCGTGTTCGCTCAATGGCGGACTGACGGCAGCTCCTCCGCCGCCGCCCAGGGAGGGGTCCGCAGGCTGACACATCAGGTGCCCTGGGACACACAGCCCAGCTCCAGGCAGTGGAGGAGGCGGGGATGGACTGCACGCTCACTTTGGGGGTGGGGTGTCGGGGGGAGGCAGCGGGGGCCTCAGCCCCCAACATCGGCACCTCCGCAAGGCACCCCCCGTGAGGACAGCTGAAGGCCTGTCCCTTGAGAAATGGAAATTAACATTAGACTCTAAATAATCCCCAGGGGAGGGGGAGGGGAAAGTACCTTCCGTGCAGTGCACACCATGCCTGACCCCCTCCAGGGAGGGGCAGTACCTGGGGGCTCTGGCCATGCCAGATGCCTGAGGCCCAGGGCTGTCCCCTGGGCGGGGCCCCGGGTCCTCAGGGCACACGCCCCATGTGGACATCCTCAGTGGGGGCAGTGGGGGGGGGGGCAGGCGTTCACTGCAGCTGCTCCCTTTCTGGGAAGCGCCCAGCCCAAGCAGGTGGCAACAGCGGCAAAAGTCACAGCCATACCTGTGCGGGCACGGGGCGGCCTGACTCGTCTGTGACGCTGACCTTGGAGAAGCCCACAGTCAGGCTGACAAAAGTGGTGACCGTCCAGGCCAGGGGGTTGTAGACCACGGCAACATGGCCCTCAGGAGCCGGGCCTGCGACAGAGAACAGGCTTTACTCGCTGCCGTTGGACCCCCGGTGCCGGGAAACTGCGGCGGTGAGCCCTGGCTCTGCCGCGCTCCCAGGGGGTCCAAGGACAGGGACGGGGACAGGGGGTGGTCACCCGTGCTGGGCACTGCACACAGCTCAGTGCAGTGTCCCTGTCACAGGCAGGGGAGGCAGGAAGGGGACAGGGTCCCTCTGGATAGCTGCGGTTCCATGTGCTCCCTGCTCCCCTGCCCTGCCAGCCCACCCGGCCGAGGAGAAAACTGAGGCCCAGAGAAGCAGAGTCACCCGCCCAAGGTGGCCCCGTCCTAGGCTCTGGCTCCCGAACTTTGAGTGCCTGTCCCTGGGAGTGACTGGTGGGTTCTCTGGCACCTGGAAGGTCAGTCCAATTGCCCAGCCCAGCGTTGGAGACCCTGCGGCGTGGACCCGGCGTCCCTTTCTGTTCTGTTCTGCACCCACGCCGCGCGCTCTGGCCACGCCCTTTGACCCCTGAACACCTCGCACAGCATCCAGCCCCGCCTCTGCCCAGGCCGCCGCTGGGATGCTCTCCTGCCTTAGCCATCTCCGCCTGCTCCTTGCTTGGGGTGCCGCCCGCGTGAGCTCATGGGGCAGGACTGCCGTGCCAGGCAGTACGGTCGCTGCCCTGATTCTAGCTCTTTCCGCTGCTGCCTCTCCTGTGGGCAGGCACCCTGTGTGCTGCCTGTCCCCACGGGCCACCCAGAGTGTGAAGGTGGGACGGGGCCACACGCAGACACAGAGGGAAGGGTGAGCAGCGGCACTGGAGGTGAGGCGTGCATGGTGACAGAGCGCAGGCTGAGGGTGGGGGCCGGGGACCGGCTGGCAGCCTTGTGCACAGTAAGTCTTTCCGGGTTTGGAACCCCCTCGAGTCCCTCAAACTGGTGTGACCCGTCACTGCATCCCTGTGAAGCACCCACGGCCAAGGACACTGCGCTGAGATGACGTGTACCCCAGCTGAGCTCGGGACATGGGGACTCGTGCCAGGAGCCAGGCTGAGACCAGGTTCCCGAGGACGCCTGCCTCCTCAACCAAGGCGGGCAGCGCAAGGCTGCAGGTTCAGCCCCTCCTGGCCTGCGTGACCCCAGCAAGCCCACGGCCCCCAGGCCTCTGTCTGTGTCCTCAGCTGGGGCGCGTGGCCAGCAACAGCTCTGGCCGGCACAGTCCGTGTGGCACCACATCGACTCCCACCCGGGGTCGGCCGGGCCGGTGCCTCGGTGTGGGGAGAGAAAGCAGAGGCTTTGAGGGGAGGTGGCACCTGCCCAAGGTCGGGCCAGGGCCAGACCACACAAGGGTTGTGGCTCCTGAGTCTGAAGTTCAGGTGGTCTGGGCCCCCTCCCTGGACACCCGGGCTCTCTTCTTAGACAGGCCGGAGCCCCTGCTCACCCCCAGCCCCCAGCCTGCCCTGCAGGGCCTTGCTCACCGGCGTGGGCTTGGGTCCTGCCCAGGACGATGGAGACCATCAGCTGGAGCACGCCCTCCATCCCCACGCTCAGGTGCTCCACAAACATGTCACTCACCTTGGTGGCCTCGGTCCCAGTGATCGCATCATGGTGCTGGACCTGGGACCCCCACCAGACAGAGAACAGCGGGGTCAGGGCCTGCCCCTGCAAAGCGCACCCTAGGCACCTGGCGGCACCCGGGCTTGGCTACCCTTCCGCTCAGAAGCTACAGGGAGAGGCACGGCCCCTCCCCGTCACAGAAGAGGCAACTGAGGCTGCGGGTGGCTGCGCATCTTTTTCTGACCTTGCGGAAACCCACCACCTGAGTGAGTCCCCAGCCTGGGGCAGACTCTGGGAAGGGACCCGCCCTGGTTTCACACCGTGATATCGCCTTGGGGCACTCCCGGCTCCGCCACCATCCTCAGCTCTGAGGCCGGTTGAAATAGGGGCGGCCTGCTGTGTGGCCGCTGCCATGCCCAGAGGTGGCACTCGGCTGCCCCTCCGCCCAGCTGGGTGGGCACATGGCTCTCATTGCACAGGGAGGGAGCTGGGCACAGGGAGGGAGCGCCCATACCCGAAGCCGCACAGTCCGACCAAAGCCGAATCCAGACAGGACCCTGGACACAAGGCTGCTGCGCCTTGCCCTTTGCCGTCTGGGTCAATCCGGCCCTAAAGCTCCCTGGGGCCGCCAGCTGGTGCTGTCAGGCCGTCCTGCACCACCCTGTCCCAGCTCTGTCGCCAAAGGCGACCTTGGTGTTCTCATCTGTGACGTGGACCCCCAGTGACCAGGAGCTGTATGGAGACGACTCCATACAGGAGGTTCCCATCCCGTGACTGTCGCCGAGAAGTGTGACGTTACCTCAGACACTGCCCAGCGGAGCTGCTGGAGCTGCTTCAGGGCCCAGGCGGGGTCCAGGGACCCGCGGGGGGCTGGCCACATGTAGCGTGTGAACATGGACTCCCCGGCGTGCAGCAGGGCGCTGGCCTGCCTCGCCAGCCCCTTGAGCTGGCTGCGGGACGTGTAGAAGCCGGTCCAGGCCATTAGCATTTCTGGGAGACAAGGGCCGGGGCAGGGGTGAGTTTCCTGCCCGTGGGGCCCCCAGGGAGGGCGCGGTCAGCATGGGTCACCCGGGGAGCCACGGGCGCAGCCGTAACCCAGGGCCCCTGCCCCGGCCGCGCCAGAACTGCCCCAGGCTGCGGAAGGCCCTGATGGGGGACGAGAACACCCGGGGAGGACCAGGGAAACTGGACGGGGGGCTGAGATCAGGGGAGGGGCAGGGTCCAGCTGAGAAGGGCCCTGAGCGCTGGCCGTGGCCTCTGAGTGTGTGTGGCTCCGGGGACAATGGGGAGTCCCGGACAGGCCCGCATTTCAGCCCTGGGAGGATGGATGGGAGGAGGGTGGACGGAGCTGAGAGACCCCAGGAGTTGCTGTCCCGACCCCCACCCCCAACAGATGACAAGGCCTGACCGAGGTGGGCAGGCAGCAAGGGTGCCCCCAAGCCTGTCTGCCTCCTGCTTCCTGCGGGCGCTGGGCCGGACCCCCCTCCCCAGCTTCCCCCAGGGCCTGGGTCAGTCGAGAACAGCCAGCCACATGCCCTGGGGGCAAGGCCACGGCTGCAGGGTCAGGTAGACCCAGGCCTCCAGTCTCCAGGGCCACACTGAGGGTCCATGTCAGGCAAGGACACGCCAACGCCCGACCTCTGAGCCCAGCACCAGCCCGGCCTGTGGCCGTCCCAGGTCCCCGGTGCTCGCAGGCACAGCCCGGCTCGCCGTCCCTCCTACCAGCCTCCTCCGCATCAGAGGAGCCGAGCCCACCTGGGCTCGCCCACAGGGCACCGCTGATCCCCGCCCACCCGGAGGCCCCAACCCCACCCCCCACACTCCCACGGGGCGGGCAGGCCTGGGAGGGGCGCCCGGCAGCAGCGTCCTCGGCAGGGATCGCATGGACCCATCCCGGGCAGGGCCTGGCGCAACAGGACCAGGGATGGCACCATAATTATTAACACCGCACCTGCTGAGCCCTGGCTCTGTGCCGGACGCTAGGCTATGAGCTTTCCTCGTCACACTTTATTTTTACAACTCGATAGCCTAAGGGCCGCTCATGTCCTCGTTTCGCGGAGGCGCAACAGTCCCAGGACTTGCACGCAGCCGCGAGGCAGGCTCAGTTCAAGAGCATCACTCCTGACCCCTCACTGTGCTGTTTGTAGCCAGCACAGTCCCAGCCTCCAGGACACAGGTGTGAAGCAGACAGGGTCCCCTGATTACGACTGTGTAGTAATAGAAGGAAAACTGGGGCCAGTGGACACACAGGAGCCACCTGATGGAGCCTTCATGTCAGGAAAGCTCCTGGAGGAGGTGGCATTACAAGGTCGGCAGAACTTACTCAGGAAGAGAAGGCGGGAGGGGGCTCTTTCGGCCAGGAGCACCGCCAGGGTCAAGACCCGGGGGGCAGCGGCGGCGGGGAGTGGGCGCCGCATGTGGGCAACGCTGGGAGCCAGGCCTCGTGTGCGGCAGCCAGGATGTCCGGGTGGCACAGGTAGGTGGGGACAGGGCCAGCCTCCCAGGCTGGAAGAGCAGACACTATGGGGGGCACCCGCCCTAGCACCAAATTGCCCGCCCCCGGCCCCAGAGACTAGTACCTGAGGAATAGGGCAGGAAGTCCTGGTGGCTGCGGACCTGCCAGGTGACCCTGTGCGTGTGCACGGCGTGGAAGTACTCATCCAGAGTGGCGTACTGCACTGTGACACCAAGCTTGGCTGCTTGCTTGTTGATGTAGCCCAGCAGGAGGTCCATGTTGGCAAACTGCACTGTGGCGTTGAAAAAGTGCCGGTCACATCCCTGCGGGCGGGGCACAGAGACAACGGCCTGTCCTGAGGGCAGAGTTCAGCCTGGCCAGGCCGAGGGGCTCAGGCCCATCATGGTCCCCGGCGGCCGCCCTCCTGTCCCCACGGGGTCCGCCCAGGCCCCAGACCAGCTCCCGCAGCCGAATTCCCTGGGCGTCTCCCTCTCCGTCTGCCCTCTGCCCGGCTCACGTGTGTCTCCTTTGCTTGATAATCTGTTATCTTAGAAGGAGACATTCAGGTACATTTTGACTACCTTCACCCACCCCCACACAGACAACCACAGATCTGATCTCTTTTTCTCTGTGTTGTGTGTGTGTGTTGTTGTTGTTGTTTTAATCCTCACCTAAGGGCGCTTTTTTTCATTGCCTGGAGAGGGAGAGGAAGAGAGAAAGAAGCATCGATGGATGGCCTCCCCTATGTGCTGGGACTGGGAATCAAACCCGCAACCCCCTGGTTATAGCTCGATGCTTCAACCAACTGAGCCGCACCAACCAGGGCTCTGTGTGTTTCATGTTTTTAAATTTCACATGTAAGTGGAATCATACCGTACTTGTCTTTCTCTGATTCATTTCACTCCTTTGCATTTCTAAAAGTCATTTAGTGTTACTGCTCATCAAAATAATTAATTGTAATACCATGATAATTATGAACAACAATGAGAATAGCCATGACTCACATGTATTGACCGTAACTTCACCTTCAAAAAGACAAAGTCAGAATTGCTAGAAACATACTAAGACTGGATAAGGACAAACAGAAAATTTGAACAGACATGTTACTAGCAAAGAGATTGAATCAGTCAGTAATCAAAAAGCTCTAAACAAACCAAAGTCCAGAACCAGATTAACTTCACTTGTTGATGCTATAAAATACTTAAAGAAGAATGAATACCAATCCTTCTAAAATCTTTCAAAAAAAAAAATAGAAGAGAGAACATTTCCAAACTCATTTACAAGGCCAACATCACCTTGATGCCAAATTCAGACAGACATTGCAAGAAAAGAAAAGTACAGATCAACATCCCAGGTGACCACAGGTACAAAAATTCTCAACAAAATATTAGCAAACTGATTTCAAAAATACATTAAAAAGATCATACATCATGATCAAGTGGGATTTATTCCAGGGCTGCAAGGGTGGATCAACATCCACCACAATCAATGTGATACGTCGCATTAACAAAGTGAAGGGTAAAAACCCTACGATCAGCCCAATAGATGCAGAAAAAGCATTTAACAAAAGTCAACATCCATTTATGATTTAAAAAACCCCTCCGCAAAGAGGAGATAGAGGGGGTGTCCCTCAACATAACGAAGGCCATATATGACAAGCCCACATCCAGCATCCAGTTCGATGGAGAAAAGCTGGATGTTTTCCTTCCAAGATCAAGAACAAGGCAAGGGTGCCCCCTCCCCACTTTTATTCAACATAGTATTGGAAGCCTCAGCTACAGCAATTAGGCAAGGAAAAAGAAATAAAAGGCATCCAAACTGGAAAGGGAGAAGTAAAACTGTCCTTATTTGCAAAAGACATTATACAGAGAGAACCCTAAAGACTCTACAAAACTGTCAGAACTAATAAACGCAGTAAAATTGCAGGATACAAAATCAATACACAAAAATCAGTTGCATTTCTACATACTAATAAGCTCTCAGAGAGAAAAATTTAAAAACAGTTCCATTCACAATCCATCAAAAACAATAAAATACCTAGCAATAAATTTAACCAAGAAGGTGAAAGACCTGTACATTGAAACCACACAACACTGATGAAAAAAATTGAAGATGCCGCAAACACATGGATTGGAAGAACTAGGGCTGTCGCAATGCCCACACCACCCAAAGCAATCTGCAGGTGCGACGCAGTCCCTACGGACATTCAAACGGCACTTTTCACAGAAGTAAAACAAACAATCCTGAAATTTGTATGGAACCACACACACACACACACACACACACACAGCCTCAAACAGCAGAAGCAATCTTGAGAAAGAAAAACATAGCTGGACACATCAAGCTGATTTCAAATTTTTTTTCAAAGCTATAGTAATCAAAACAGTAGGATATTAGCATAAAAACAATCATATTGATCAATGGAACAGAAAAGAAAGCCCAGAAATAATCCCATACATATATGTTTGATTAATTTATGGCAAATTAGCCAAGAATATGCCATGGGGAAAAGACTAGCTCCTCAATAAATGATGTTTGAAAAACTGGACACCCATGAAAAAGAATGAAATTGGATCACTATCTTATACCAGGCACAAAAACTCACTCACATGGATGAAAGGCTTCCACATGAGACCTGAAACCATAGAACTCCTACAAGAAAACATAGGTAACAAGCTCTTTGACATCAGTCTTGGTGGTGATTTTTTGGCTTTGGTACCATAAGCAAACACAGCAAAAGCAAAAAGAAACATATGGGGCTATATTCAAACTGAAAGCTTCTGCACAGTAAAGGAAACCATCAAGATGAAAAGCAACCTAGCAAACGGAAGAAAATATTTGCAATTCATGTATCTGATAAGGGCTTAATATCCAAAATACATAAAGAACACAAGTCAATAGCAAAAAAAACAAACAATCCAATTTAAAAACAGGCAAAGGATTCAAGTAGACGTTTTTCCAGAGAGAACACAGCCAGCCAACAGACACGGGAAACGGTACTCAGCGTCACTGATCATCAGAGAGATGCAAATCGAAACCACCAAAACATGTCACCTCACACCTGTGAGAGTGTCACAAAGACGAGAGGCAAGTGCCGGCGAGGACGTGGAGGAAGGGCGTGTCAGCCGGGATGCGAATTGGGGCAGCCGCTGCGAAAAACGGTGTGTAGCTTCCTCAAAAAATTAGAGATAGAATTACCATATGATTCAGCAATTCCACTTCTGGGTACTTAGCCAAAGAACACAAAACACTAATTCTAAAAGATACCTGCGCTCATATTCATAGCAGCATTATTTGCAACAGCCAGTACGTGAAAGCAACCCAAGTGTCTGTCGATAGATGAATGGATAAGGAAATGTGGTATTTGTATAAGACTACCCCCATCCTTGTGTTCACAGCAGTGTTATTTACGATCGCCAAGGTCTGGAAGCAGCCCAAGTGCCCATCAGGAGATGAGCGGATAAAACAGCTGTGCCACATTTACACGGCGGAACACTACGTGGCCGTAGAAAAGGAAATCTTACCTTTTGCAACAGCGTGGACGGACCTGGAGACTATTATGCTAAGAGAAATCAGCCAGCCAGGGAAAGACAAATACCACATGATCTCACCTATATATGGAATCTAATGAACAAATACACTGACAAACAAAGTAGAAACAAAGGCGTGGACACGTGGAGGAGACTGACAGCTATCGGGGCGGCGGGCGCAGGGGCCGGGGAGGCTGAATGACACCCGGTGCAGGGATCTGCCGAAGCTCAGAGGTGCCTAATCCGTGGGCACAGACAGCGGCGCGGTGCGGGCGGGGGCGGGGGGCCGCGCGGAGGCAGGCAAAGGGTGGGGGGACGTGGGGACGCCTGTAATAGTGTCAGCAATAAAAATAAAGAAAAAATAAAGTAACAAAATAAAAATGTAAGCCTCAAGTCTCATCTAAAGTCATATATACATACTATTACATAGGTAGTTAGGTTAAATATCATACAATCGACCTATTGACATAGTGTGTGGAGTTTTATAGTTTTCAAAAAATATTTTAATTAATATCTTCACCTATAGGAAAATGTAGTAACAAATAAAAAGAGCAAAAAAAAAAAAAACCAAAATGTCATTAAAAGAAAAAGAGAAAGGCCGTCAAGACCAAAACAGGAGGAGAGAGCCTCGGGCAGGGGGCTGTATTTCGGGGGGAGGCGGGGGCTGAGTCCGCAGGGGATGGGACCTGGGGGCGGGCGGGGAAGGAGGGCTGACCGGGTCGGGATGCGGGGGGCCGGGCCTGGGGCGCCGCTTACCCAGGGCCAGAGGACGTGCGGGGTCCGGAACCAGGTGGCCCGCCGCTTCACCTCCTCCACCAGGGCATTCATGTATTTCCTGATGGTGTACTCGGTGACGGGCTCCTCCATGTTGGGGTACTGCCCGTTCTTGGGCGGGTCCGGGAACTGAGCCTGACCTTCCCAGTAAAACCCGTCCCTGCGGGAGAGAGAAGGGTTAGAGGGCCCTGCCCCCAGAAAGGAGGCGGCCTGGAGGCCCCAGAGGACAGGCAGAGCTCCGCCCGACCACAGGGCAGCTTGGGCCTGCACGCCGCGCTGGCGCCCGTCCCCCCTGCAGCGCGACGCGCAGGTCTCGGCAGGCAGGCAGGGGGGCTCCCATCCAGGCCCCACGCTCACCAGCGCGGGACCCCGGGCGTGCCGCTCCCCTGGGCCCACGATGCTTCGGCTGTCCCATGGCGCCCGCCCCCTCTGTGTCCCGGGGCACCATGCGCGCCACGGGATTCATTAGACTACTCCTTGCAGGGCACCTCCGCGCCCACCAGAGAAGGGCTGAAGGACCGAGGGCCTGGCCGGGACTGGGTGCGGCAAGGGAGCTGCCTGCCTTGGGCACAAAAAGAAAGGGGCCGCCTCGAGCCTCGGCACCAGCATCGGTGAAGTTTAAGGCAATGTTTTAGAAAATCAAATAAATACAAAAAATCATGGGGAACGAAACCTCCAAGTGTTAACCAAAGACAGAAGGAGCCTCAGGGTTCCCCTGCAGCCTCGGGCTCCAACCCGGCTTGGCGCAGCTCTGACCTAAGAATGAATCAGCCTCAGGGGTCTAGCCGGGCTGCGGTTAGGGTTGTCCCTGTCTCATACTGGGTGGCATAGGGTGACAAACAGTGGATCCTGGGCCAGCCCCCAGGAACGGCCACTCGAGCCTCTCCAAACCTCAATCTCCTCGTTGACACATGTTCTGAAGGCTGTTATGAGGATTAAGTGACAGTAATTGATGGAAACAAACAGTGCCCGGCACAGAGCGGGCCTGACAAATGGTGACGCCTGGCAGGGAGCCGCCGGGCACCCCTCTCCCAGCAGTCCCTCTGTCGTGCCCTCTTGTCTCTCCTGTGCGAAGAGGGGCTACCCCTCCCGCTACCCCCGTCCACAGCCCCCGGGCCCCGAGGGCTGGCCGCTCGCAGGGCACGAGGCCTGAACCCGAACCAAACGCCAGTTCCACCACCTTCGCTAACCGTGGGGACCTTGGCTGAGTGGCTCTGCCTCAGTTTCTCTTTGTGTGACATGGAACACTCAGTGGCCCCCCCTCAGGGGCACGGTGAGGGGCGTAGCTGATTTGACATGGGGACAGTGCTCGGGACAGGGCCCAGCCAGAACAAGTGCTCACGAGCAGTAGCTAAACTTGTCCATGACGTGCGTGAAGATTTCCTGCTGCGCCGCCAGGGACTGGGACCCTCGCCACACGAACTGCAGCCCCTGCACACCAGGAGCAGAGTGAGGGCCGAGGACCGGCACGGCGGCCGGTTCCACCTCCCGCAGCCCTTCGGGGGGTCTCCGGCTGCCCTCCCCTTGGTCCCAGGCTGCCTCCTCCTGAAGATCCGATCTCACCCCCCAAAGCCACAGGCGGTGGTGGGCCTGCCCTCCTGAAGAGCCTGCCTGCTCATTCACCCACCTCCTTCTCAGGGCCACCTGCGAGACAAGCTCTGCTTGAATGTCCCCAGCCACAGGGAGCTCATCACCTATCACTGAGCGGGTAGCCTCTGCTTTGTAGTTCAGATGGATAGAAAGTGCTCAGGGTAACAAGCAGGGATCGCATCCTGATTCTGTTAGCTGCATCTCTGGGACACACACGTTCCCTGACTCCCCTCCGACTTGAGTTCAAGCCATAGAAGATGGGATGTCACACCCTGCTCACAGAGTTACTTGCCGGTGCGATGAGCTGACACACCCAGTGTGTGCTCAGCGTGGCCCTTTGTGGGGCTCCCAAGTGTTACTTGTCTTGTGCGCCTGGAGCTTACCCGCTCCCGCCCGCCTCTCACCGGGCAAGTCTCCGCTGCTCTCTAGAACATTGCTGCCAGGGTGGCTCTGCACAGCACGCTGACCTGAGGGCAGGGGCTTTGGGGACACAGGGAACTAAGTGGGGGGCAGTATGCATGCGCCCAGCACTCGCCTGAGCCTGCTGCATGGCCATCTTCAGGTCATAGTCGACCCGGGAGATGACGTGGGCGTTGAACCCCGCCAGGGCAAACAGCGTGGGTGTTGTGGCGGACGCACCAAACGGGTCGACCTGCCAGGAGAACTGCGGCCGGACCCCGAATGTCTCGTAGAGAAAGCTGTGTCCTTCTGCAGAGAGAGAGCAGCGCCACCATGCTGGGGACGAGCGGAGCCCTCGCCCTCGCTCGCAGAGGGCCCCACCTCCTGGGCACTGGGTGCCCTGCTCCCAGCCAGCAGGGTCTGCAGCACCAGGTGACCAACCAAAGGCCCATCTGGGACCGTCCTGCCACTCATTCACTCATTCACGGCTGCAGAGCCACCACCGCGTGCCGACTCCGGGTGGAGTGTGGCACGTAGGAGGAGGATGGGTGGTTTTGGAAATGGAGCCACATGGAATCCACTGGGGAGAAGGGGCTCCTCCTGTCCCACTGGGATGCAACCCCACATTTGCCATGTTCTAGGTCCAGCCTGCAGGATTAGACCTCAGACGCTTAGGGCAGAGGGCACGTGAGCTGAGACCAGAGGACAGGGCCGGTTCCCCTGTGGGCTCCCTGATAGGGCCAGTCAGCTCCCGCCAGGGACCCGCTCCTGGCCACGCCTACCACACAGGACTGGCTGGACCCCGCGCTGAGCCCTGGGGCCCTGGAGAGGACTCAGACTCGGGTGGCTGGCAGAGGCCACCTGTGGTTTTCAGGTGAAGGAGGGAGGAGGTAAAGATCTGCAGAGACCCGAAGGAGGGTTCCCGGCAGGTGACACTCCTCAACTGAGCCTGAATGGGGAGGGTAGTGGTGATGGTTGTGATGGTGGTGGTGGTGGTGGTGGTGGTGATGGTGGTGATGGTGGTGGTGGTGGTGGTGGTGGTGGTGATGGTGGTGGTGATGGTGGTGGTGGTGGTGGTGGTGATGGTGGTGATGGTGGTGGTGGTGGTGGTGGCGGTGGTGGTGGTGGTGGTGGTGGTGGTGGTGGTGGTGGTGGTGGTGATGGTGGTGATGGTGGTGGTGGTGGTGGTGGTGGTGGTGATGGTGATGGTGGTGGTGGTGGTGGTGGTGGTGGTGGTGGTGGTGGTGGTGGTGGTGGTGGTGATGGTGGTGGTGGTGGTGGTGGTGGTGGTGGTGGTGGTGATGGTGATGGTGGTGGTGGTGGTGGTGGTGGTGGATGGTGGTGATGGTGGTGGTGGTGGTGGTGGTGGTGGTGGTGATGGTGGTGATGGTGATGGTGGTGGTGGTGGTGATGGTGGTGGTGGTGGTGGTGGTGATGGTGGTGGTGGTGATGGTGGTGGTGGTGATGGTGGTGGTGGTGGTGGTGGTGATGGTGGTGGTGGTGGTGGTGGTGGTGATGGTGGTGATGGTGATGGTGGTGGTGGTGGTGATGGTGGTGGTGGTGGTGGTGGTGATGGTGGTGGTGGTGATGGTGGTGGTGGTGGTGGTGGTGGTGATGGTGGTGGTGGTGGTGGTGGTGGTGGTGGTGGTGATGGTGGTGGTGGTGATGGTGGTGGTGGTGGTGGTGGTGGTGGTGGTGGTGGTGACGGTGGTGGTGATGGTGGTGGTGGTGGTGGTGGTGGTGATGGTGGTGGTGGTGGTGGTGGTGGTGGTGATGGTGATGGTGGTGGTGGTGGTGATGGTGGTGGTGGTGATGGTGGTGGTGGTGGTGGTGGTGATGGTGGTGGTGGTGGTGGTGGTGGTGATGGTGGTGGTGGTGGTGGTGGTGGTGGTGATGGTGATGGTGGTGGTGGTGGTGATGGTGGTGATGGTGATGGTGGTGGTGGTGGTGATGGTGGTGGTGGTGGTGGTGGTGATGGTGGTGGTGGTGGTGGTGGCGGTGGTGGTGATGGTGGTGGTGGTGGTGGTGGTGGTGATGGTGGTGGTGGTGGTGGTGGTGGTGGTGATGGTGATGGTGGTGGTGGTGGTGATGGTGGTGGTGGTGGTGGTGGTGATGGTGATGGTGGTGGTGGTGGTGGTGGTGGTGATGGTGGTGGTGGTGGTGGTGGTGATGGTGGTGGTGGTGGTGGTGGTGGTGGTGATGGTGGTGGTGACGGTGGTGGTGATGGTGGTGGTGGTGGTGGTGGTGGTGGTGATGGTGGTGGTGGTGGTGGTGGTGGTGGTGGTGGTGGTGGTGGTGGTGGTGGTGACGGTGGTGCTGGTGGTGGTGCTGGTGGTGATGATGGTGGTGGTGGCCATTATGGCTGTGGAGCTGGTGGTGAAGATGAAGGTAATGAAGGCTCTAACATATAAGGGCATTTCCTACGGATCACTGCACTTTACTTACATGGTCTCTTTCAATTACCATCACACCCACTTTGATGAGGGAGACATTGAGACACCCTGAGGGGACACCGCTTACCCAGATTCCTAGCACTGGGGACGAGCAGAGCCAGATCCCGCCAGGCCACCTGGTGTCAAACCCCTGCTCGCAGCCCCTGAACTCAGCAGTAGCTCAGACGTGACTGTGGCACCAGCCAGTCGCCGTTCTCACCAGTCAGGGGCTCCGACTCGGGGGGAAGATGAAGCCCAGAACCTGGATTCAGACATCGAGTCGCTGCATGGAGACCCCCAAGGGACCCTGGATATGGGGAACGGTGACCGAACCTGTCAGCTGGAGGATCTGGTCATCAATGTGGGTCACAGCCTCATCGTGCATGACCTGGCCTCCGATGACAAACTCCAGTTGTCTGAGGGCCACAAGCCGGCGAACCTGGGCATGGTGGGCAGAAGGAAAAGCCAGGTCACGACGCCGAGCCTGGGCGGCTCTGCGGGGACACGCCTACAGCGTCTCACGTGCCCTGCCTGGGACTCCTCACCTGCCTTCCTCGCAGAGGCGGGACACTGTCTGCATCCGGGCACCATGGCCGCCACCTACAGTAGCACCTGGCCCGTGTCTGACACTTGGTATATCTTTTTAAAATTTTTTACTTTTGAAAGAATTCCAGCTTAGAGACAATGTGCGAGAGCTGTACAAAGAGCTCCCGTGCACCCGCGGCCCGGAGTCTGCAGGCCGTAACCTCTCCTGGCGTCCTGACCATGCTCCCCTCTCTGCCCACACCGGGCAGCGGCTTGTAAACCATTTGAGAGTAGAAGTTAGCAAGTTTGGGTTTGTGGGAACGGGATGATTTTAATCATAGTATAATGATCAAACTCAGGAAATGTAACATAACACACTACTATCTAATCCGCAGGCTTTAATCCCGTTTTGCCAAAAGCTCTACGCACGTCCTTTTTCCTGCGAGACTCACTGTGGGAGCGGGCGCTGCTTTTAACCGTCATTCCTCTCTACTGCCTTTCACTTGTAGCAGCTCCTCGGCCTTTCTTTTTTTTTTTTTATGGGCTTGACCATTTTGAAGATTACAAGTTATTTTCTAGAATGTCCTTCAATTTGAGTTTTTCTCGTGATAGGCTGAAAGTGTTTTGTTTTTTTGTTTTTTTTTTTTTTCAGAAGATCCTTCATCTGATCCACATTGTCCGACATATTTCTAATATTTTTAAATATTAGGAGAACATTAAATAGCATTAAATGAACAGGTGAAACAACAGAAGATAACGATGACCAGAGAATGTGGCCAGGACACCATCACGCCATTCGCAGACTGGCTTTTTACTTCTTATGGAGGCACAGTTTTGTACTGCGTCCGCCCGACAAATGAGGAACGAGCCCCTGCTCTGTGCTGTCTTGGGTGGCCGCCCACTGCCCGCCAGGCCCAGGCCGGGCTTCAGGGATTCAGCCATGAAGAAAGCAGACAAAAACCCCTGCCTCCCACAAGCTGGGCCATTGAGTTGCCTGTTCAGGTCTTTGTGGGGACCCTCTTCTGTCCGGGGCATGGGTATGGGAGGCAGGCAGCTGTGTTTGGGGGTGTCCAGGGAAGGAGGTGCTGACTGCTCACGAGACACCTGGAACATATCTCGTCAGACGTGCCCGGATCAGAATCCTACCTGTCATGCGTAAGCTCTGTGGCTACAGGACAGTCACCCGCCCTGCCCTCTCTGAACCTGGGCCATCTCTGTAAAGCAGGGTGACTGTCCCTGCCACACAGGCCAGAGGCAGGGCTCAGGGAAGTAGCATGGAGTGTAGGAGCCCAGCGCCAGGCACGCGCCCATCGACTCCGAGGCTCCCCCTCTTGCCCGCCCAGCTTGAGCCTCAGACACAGCGCCGGGGGACTCCCTGCTTGGCCTTTTCCACGGGGCTTCCTTGAGCAAGTCGCTCAGCCTCCCTGAAGTTCAGGCTCAGGGACTGTGCTGAAGGCAGGCGTGTACCTGGTCGGGCAGGGGGTGGCTAAGCTCGGGAGTGTGTTTCTAGATGCTTATATTGGGCTTTCATTCTCGGGACAGCCCCTCTGAGGACGGGGAGGTCACTGCCACCCACAGATGTGTGACCCGCAGGGACAGAGTCCTGTCCCTGCCTGTGAGCACACCGGGAGGCGGAGGCAGGGCCAGTCCCAGGCTGCCTCTCCGCGGAACAGGGCCTCCCTGACTCCCCGAAATGTGTGGCTCAGACCTGCTGCCACCTGTAAACCACGGGGGCCATGCACCTGCCTGGGCCTGTGGGGGCCGTGCAGACACGGAAACGAAGGAGAGGGTGCGGGCTCAGGGCCACCACAGGGCGCCCACACGGAGGGGCCCTTGCAGCACAGCTGAGCACCCGGCACGGGGCCGCCGCCTTCCGGGCAGCCCGATGGCTGTCCACCAGCCGCCTCGCGGGAGAGCCAACCGCACGCGCGGCCGCGGCCCCCGAGCACGGCCCCCGTGTGCCCTGCCTACCTCCCCGCCTCCCTGCACGTGGCCCATAGAGTCACCTGCTGCTTCTGCCTCTCCGAGGCCACGCCGTCCCACCACAGCCGGAAGTACTCCTGCTCCACCACGATGAAGCGCCGGTACTTCCTGTGGGTCAGCTCCTGCGTCACGGAGCTGTACACGTTGGCCACGTAGGCCCGCATGTTCTCCTGGGGAGGGCCACCAGCAAGGGGGGGCGCAGTGACCAAGTGCCCCTGGGCCCTGCCTCAAGTGACAACTCCTGGGGCTCTTCCCTCAGCCTCCTGAGAGGGGAGGCTGGGACAGAGGGAAGGACAAGGCCCTCCCCCTTTGTGAGCACACGCTGTCCTGGGGAGGGACATGGGGACTCAGACCATGACGCTCGCCTCGGGCAGTGTCCCAGAGCGGGCGTGCTGCCTGTCCCTGAGGGCGCCCTCAGGACAGCACAGCCAAGAGCCCCCTGGGGGCCTGCTTGGACCGACAGGAAGTGGGGGCTGTGCCAAGAGCGGCAGCTGAGAGCAGCTGCCCCTGGCGTGTCCCGGGGCTGCCCGTCTGCCTCCCCCAGGCTGGGGGCTGTGCAGCCTGGGTCGCCAGGGGCCCAGTGCGCCCAGGCTCCTGGGTAAGTGGCGCAACAAGAGCCCTGGGTGGAGAGTCAGCAGGCTCCAGCGTTCTTCCTGAGTGACCTTGGGCAAGGCACCCACCGTCCCTGGCCCTCAGTTTTCTCTTCTGTAACTGCGGGGGCGGGGAGGGCAGGGGACTTAAGCCACCTCCACCTGCGGGTGAGCTGCCACCCCCAGGGGCTCCGAAGTGCTGGGATCAGACTTAACCCTCAGCATCAATCCGCTCCCCCTCCTCAGTCTCTCTCCAAAACTGGCTGCTCCTTTAAGGACACTGTTAGTGTCCTTTGCAAAGGTACCGCTCCACAGCCACACAGGGTCTTGGTTCTCTTTCCACGCATTTCCTCTCTCATTCCAAGGGAGGGTCTGAGGCAGCCGGGGTGAGGAGGCCCAACCGTCCGCCCAGAAGCTGAAGGAAGCCAGGCTCTTGCCCGCTCTTCCTTCTCGCGCTGATTCACTCGTTGATTCAGCAAAGAGTGTGGAGCGAGTCCGCTGTCCACCAGGCGCCGTGCGAATGGCAGCGATGAACCGGGAAAAGCCCCTCCCCCCGCCCTGGGGCTTCCCCACAGTGGGGCAAGCAGTCAGTCCATCAACAAGGACGGTGAAAGGTGGGCACAGGGACTGACCTTAGCTGGACTGCCTGCAAGGCCCCGCCAGAAAGTGGCCTTGGAAGGACAAGCTATGGGGAATTGGAGACTGAGCCCTACGCCACCTGGGAGGAGCGTCCCCGGGGCAGAGGGGCACCAGGGCGTGGCTCTGAGACCTGCACCGTCCTGCCCTGCGGGGGCACCTGGGGCCCAGAGGGCATCCCGGACGAGCACGACCGCGGCCGGACCCCGGCCAGCGCACCCCTCATCCGCCCCCAGTGGCCTGCCGTCCTCCCTCAATCCAGTGGGGAGACCGAGCCCCCCAGGCAGGAGGTGGTCCAGAGCAGACTGGGAACCAGACCCTCCCTGCTGGTGCAGACCTGGAGAGAGGCCCACGGGGATCTGGGGATCCGTAGGGAGGCGGAGGTGGCAGCGCCAGGGGGCGTCCAGGGAACGGCACCCAGCACCTACCTGGATTGTGTAGAGCCAGCCCACATCCATGTGGCTGTGGGGCACCACGAAGACCTTGATGGGGCCCAGGGGCCTGGCCCCCTGCAGCTGCCCCACCACCAGCTGTGTGAGCAGAGGCAGCCAGCGGAGCAGCCCCATCCCAATGCCTGGCCGGCGGATGGTGCAGGGATGTCTGGTCCACCAGTGGGCAGGCCAGCAGACAGCAGACTGGCTCCCATGGGGGAGGGAGCAGGTGGGGACTGGAGGCCCGTGCCCCAGGCTAGATGTCACCTGAGCCCTGCAGGAGGGCGGTGCTTGCTCAGCAGCTCCCAGTGGCCCTGCCCCATCCCCAGGTTTCAGGTCGCTGCTGGCCACCTTGAAGCCAAATCCAAAATGCCACCGCCAGCCCAGCAGACATCCCTCTGGCCAGGGAGTGCCCCTTCCCCAACCCGGTGCCTGCACCCTCTGGGCTGGGCTCCTGCACCCAGAGTTTGCCCTGTAAAATTCAGCTCAGTCCTCTGCTGGGAGGTGCCGCCACCGGGGCCGGCGGGACTTCGAGACCTCAGCTCCTGTTCTCTTGAAGGGAAGGTTGGTCGGGACCAGCTGTGCAGCAAGGTGGGCGAGGGTGTGCAGGCTGCGCGAGGTAGGCCCCCGGGGGACAGGGTGGGCACCGCGGGGGGCAGCGTCTCTCTCAGTAGGTGACCGAGCTCAGGTACACGTGGCTCTTCCTCCAGGCTTCCCCCACGCCTGTCTCCCCTGTGCCCCACCCTTGCCTGTCTGCACCTGTGCTGTGCGACAGAACAGTGTCCTGAGACTGAGCCAGGGACCTGGTGACCGCAAGCCCAGGTGTGGCGAGGCCAGCTGCGGGGTGAGGTTGGCCTGAGGCCCGAGGGTGTGCAGCTGTGCACCAGGGGACCCACTCCCCCACCCTGGGTCTGCCGGGGTCCTGGCCCCTGCCACCACCAGGGAACCTGCCCTGACCTCCTCTCCCCCAGAGTGGCCCCTGTCCTGTCCCCACTTTAAGTGGGAGTCCTGGGCTTCACAAGGACTTACCCAAGGTCACAGCAAGTGTGTGAGTGTCACTCGCTTTCAGCGAGTGTGGAAGCAGGGCTGTCCCAGATACTGGGAATTAGGCCTGGGACCCCAGATGGACCTTGGCAAGACATTCTAGCTCTGACTCCAGTGGCGCATCCAGGAAACAGGGCAGCAGTAGAGGAGCTGTGTATTCAGTGACACCAAGCACTGAGGTGACAGCTTCTGTGTCCCCAGCCTACCCTGGGGGACTGCCAGTTCCCACTGGTGCAGCCCGCAGGGGCGAGCCTGTTGGCGGGAGCCACCTCTGTGTCCCCAGAGCAGGGGATCCGTGTTTGGGGCGCGCGGCCTGAGAACCCAGGGGCTGGCCTCCCGGGCTGCATTTGCTGGCACCGCCAGGGCATGACGCGCCTCCGCAGCGGCCGCCCCGCCGTCCTGCAGTAAGCTCACCTGGAGGGGTCCGTCTCCGAGTCAGGCAGGACCCTCCGCTCCTCCGGTCACACCCTCACTGGATGCAACAGGAAAGTGTCTCCCACCACCCGTGTCCTCCTGACGCCCCCGGATGCTTGGCCAGACCCAGCTCCCAGCCGCCCTACCCCACGGGGGCCATGTAGCCCATTTCAGCCCCACTTCCCTTCCAGGCTGGCCGAACGGGAGCCCTCTAAGGACCCCCAGAGCCACGGGCGGAGGCCCCTGAGGAAGCCAGCAGACTAGGACGCGAGGAACCAACGGCTGGCGTGGGGTTAAGCCACTGAGTCTATCTGATAAGTATGTCCCCGCTCTAGTCCCTGAGATGGCCACACAAGATCCCCCATCCAAGGAGTACATCACGGGACACAACCTTGACCTCCTCCCACTGAGAGACGGAGTGTGTGTCTTCTCCCGCTGAAGCTGGGTGGGCTGCCACATGCTTGTGACCCACAGAGTGGCCCTGCTTGGTGAGCGGGGCGTTCTCTGAGGCACGTCCACCTCTCCGTAGCCCATGCCCACATCCCTGGATCTTTCCGTGCCTCCACCCTCCCTCTGCCCCGGCCGCTCCAGCAACCCTTCTGCACTTGGTGTGGCTGACACTCTCCCAGCATCGGGGCTGCCTCCACAGCCCGCTGACACTCTCTCCCGGGGTCAAGTCCTTCATGAGGCGGCCATGGTCCACTCCGGCCGCTAGAGGGCGCACCCCGGATGGGGGCTTCCAAGGGAGGCGCATGCGTTGTCACAGTGTGGAGGCCGAAGGGTCCTGGGCGGGGCAAGTCGTGGCAGTTTTTGTGACAACCGCAGAGGCTCAGTGTCCCTGCACCAGGGGTGGCCTTCCACTGCAGCGACAGTGCTCCCTAGGGCCAGGCCTGGTGTGCCAGCCTGAAGAGAGTTTTGTGACGTGGGTCCGAATAGCCGATTGTCTAGAGCGAGGCCAGTGCCCACCGGGTTCTGCCCGCATGGTGCGGCACTCCGCGGCGCTGCGGGGGGCCAGGTGCCCGCAGCCCCTGTACACGCAGAGTCACCTGCGTGTCAGGCATGTCGGCCGCCTCGGGACCGCTCTTGAGCAGGCCGTGGCTGCAGGGGAAGAGCGCGAACATAACCAATTCTGCGTGATCGCAAGAGAGGAACGGCCTGGCAGTTCCGCTGAGTACCTGGGGGTTTGCGGGACGGGCACACTGGCACCATGTCCTCTGTCCTCCAGAGCCTGTGGGAGAAGCCTGAGGGCTCACACTGGCTGAGACGGGCAAATGCCTGGGGCTGCACCCGCACCCGAGCCCTCTCGGAGCCAGCACCCCTTGCCACCGACCCACCCTCGCTCCCTGGGTCTGCCCTCCAGGAGCCTGACCTCCAGCGTTTGACCCTTGACCCGGGACTTCCAGAAAATAAGTCCTAGTCTGGGGCCGTTTGTACGGTGGCCCTGGACACTGGCACGCTGATATTCCTGCAGTGCGGGTGCACCAGTCCCCAAAACGGAGGAAATCCCCGCCTCGCTCACCGGCCCCTCGCCCCGGCGGGCCAGCCCTCTGGGCGTGGGGAGCAGTGTCCCCGGGGCTGGGGCTCACAGTCGCAGCCCCGCAGCTGTGGGCCCATGTGAACAATGCATAACCAACTTTCCGCGACCGTGTAAGCAGAACGTTCACTTGCAGGCCACCTCACCTTTTTTTTTGTGCCAATTTTCAGGGTCTTTAGTTATCTCTGAGGACCACTGAGGGAGGGCTGACACCAGAGGGACCCAGGGGACCCTTGTGAGCGATCATGCAAGGGACAAGGCGGCGGGGAAGCGCCGCAAGGATGTTCTGAGTGCCAGGCCGCGATGGGCCTGCTGGACGGAACCGTTATTCGGCTGAGAAAATACACTCGGCACCTCTTCAGGAGGAAACGAAAGCACCTTGGAGAACACCCTTGCGTTAGGGCTCTAGGGCTGCCGTAACAAAGTGCCCCAAACGGGGGGACTTGGTGACAGAAATGGATGGCCTCCCAGGTGTGGAGGCCAGGAGCCCACAATAAAGGAGCGCCCAGGGCCAGGCGCCCGCTGAGGGCCGCTGGCAAGGATTCCCTCTTAGGCTCCAGCCCCGGTGGCCCCCGCGGTCCCTGGTCTTCCCCGACGCGCAGCTGCCTCACTCCCATGTCTCTCTGCCTCCACGGTCACAGGGCCATCCTGCCTCCGTGTCTCTTCTCATGGGGACACCAGTCACAGGGGCAAGACCCCGCCCCATGGCCGCACGGCCTCCTCTCACGTGGCCACTTCTGCCAAGATCCTATTTCCAGAGAAGCTCCCATTCACAGGCCCGGGGGTCAAGACTTCAGCCCCTCTTTGGGAGGACACAATTCAACTCCCTGCGACCCCAGAGAGCACAGCTTGTGTGTCTGTGTGCAGAGAGATCTCCAGGTACTGAAATGGCTGGGGAAACGCCAGACGAGGTTTCCACGGAGCGTCCAAGCCCTGTGTTTTCAGTACCAGGTGGGACTGACAGACTTTGGTCATTGAGGAAGATGTGGCCTTGTTCGTGACAGCTGCAAATTGTAAGTGACCCAAAGAGCCAGCCACAGCAGCGCAGGTAAACAAGAGGACAGTGGGTCTCCAAGTTGGACCCCAAGACCGGTAGTCCAAGCAGCACTTGGGAAGCTGTTAGAAATACAAATCAGCCCATCACTAGACAAGTGGCTCGCCCGGCCTGCGTGGCCCAGCTGGTTGAGCGCCATCCTGCAAACTGAAAGGCCGGCGGTCAATGCCCGGTCAGGGCGCATGGCTGGTACAGCCCCATCTGGGGTGAGTACAGAAGGTGGCCAGCCAATGTTTCTCTCCCTCTCTTTTTCCACCCCTTTCCCTCTCTCTAAAATTAAAAATGAAGATAAATTTTTAAAAAAAGAACTACAAAGTATCAAGCCCTCCCCGAGACCAAATGAACCAGCCCCCGTAGAGGGAGCCGGGCAGCGTGTCTTAACCAGCTCCTGGCCGTCCTGGCGCGCGTGGCAGGCGGAGGGCCCCGCCGCGGGGCCGTCGAGCGCGAGGCCTGCGCCAGCCGCGTCCGCGCAGGCGGACGTGCGTGCAGAGGGGCACGATGACCCCGTTTACACGGAGCTCAGCGTGGGGGAACGGTACCACGCCGCTTAGGATTGTAGTCATAGCTCCCAGCACAGGACAGAAAGGCAAAGCGATTGGCAGCCAAAAGCCACAGGCGGGGACGCCTCCCGGGGCTGGAGGCAGGGCGGGGTTAGGGAGCGACGCAGCGGAACTTCTGGGGACGTCGGCGTGGCTTTACTTCCTGCCGTGGGGGGTGGTTACATGTGTGTTTCCTTTCAAATTATGTATTATTATAGTTATATATACTACATATAACATGGCATGCAGCAGACTTCCTCTATATCATGTATGACGTATTCCCTATGTAAACATATATTACATATATAAGACGTACGTACACACACATATTGCCTTATTCACAGAAAATAAAAATGTTAAAAAGAAAAAATACAAAAGTGTGAGAAAGACCTAGGTGAAAGAGAATAGAAAAAACAAATCCGAAGTCACACCTAACCTGTAAGGCTTTGTCGGCGCGGGGGTCTCGGGCTGCGGCGGGGGCGGCTCGCTCTCCACCCCGACCCACCTCCCCGCGGCGCGTCGGCCAGTTTCAGCCGAGACCCGGCTCCGC